ACAACAACAACAACATATCTAGTTATAGACAGATTTAGCCAAGATTTTAAAACATGCTTTAGAGTTGTTGTTGTTATGTACTGTGGAGTCGGTTCTGACTCATAGTAACCCTGTACAGGGTTTCTGAAGTTGTAAATCTTTATGGGAGTAGAATGCCTCATCTTTCTCCTGCGTAACAGCTGGTAGTTTCGAACTGCTGACCTTGTGATTTGCAGCCTGATTCGTAATCACTATGCTACCAGAGTAGACAGTGACATTAGGTTTTATTAGGCCAGCTTATTGCACTAGTATTTTCCATATGGTCCTAATCTGTAAATTTACATTTTAAACCTATTCATTACCATTTATGGAAATGCATTTTTAAAATCTATTTTATAATTTTACCAAATGCAGTTATAGATATATAGATTATTCTGTTTTCCAGGTGTAAAGCTTAGGTCAATATGGCTTACATTTTGGTGTGTAAGTTTCAACTAGGAAGCTTATTAGAAATAATAGAGCCCGAGTCTTACTTATGGACATTGTAATTTAAAAAATCCCAGGCATCTAGATTTTTCATAAATTCAATGTGTACTCTGCATGTAAGAATATGAGAACCATTGGGCTGGGGGCATCATATACCTCTTGAGTTATGGTTCTTTTTGGAAGCTATTTCCTATTTGCTTTTAAAATATTTTATAATTAATTAGCAGACAAGTAGGGAATTAATTTGCCCTTTTTTTTCACCTTTGGCTTATTTGCACATTGCTTTTGATTGTAGGAATCATGGAAACATTTTAAAAGAATTACTAAAATGTTTTTTTCCTAGTTTAAGACTCTTCCAAAACTTTAGACACATTTTTTGTTTATCCTACAACACCACACCAGGACTCTTTAATGTTTAACAGTAGTCACTTAAAGGGCATGTTTCTATTTAGAGTCTTCTCTTACATTTGATGAGAAATCAAAAGTAAGGTTTAAAAGAGAGAAAAGAGATATAATAAAAATGCAGACTAATTTAGAGCCATAGTGTAGCAAAGCTGATAATATTCATGTTCTACAGTTTTACCATCACATAAATTACATTTTACCACTGTAAAGATTTTTTTGAAATTTTCTTATATATATACAAGTATATATTTTCTATTTTGGAATATCTCCTTCCACTAATTCAGGTTTAACCTGTCATCATTTTTTTTTTAAGTATAACAATTTTATAGTATTATAATCCATAACATACAGTTCACCTATTTAAAGTATATCATTCAGTGGTTTTAGTACAAACATACCTCTTTTTAACCTTGCTTCACTGATCGCTCTTCAAGGATGAAGTGTATTTTTACAAATTTAAAATTATGACAATACTACCTCCAGAAAGCCTATCAACACCATTTTTCTTTCTTTGTTAAAAACTGTTTGATTTACATATTTTGAGACTTTCATTGGGAGCACAAATATTTATTATGGTTATGTCCTCTTGTTCAATTGATTTTCTAATCATGATATAATGTCCTTTGTCTCTTATGCTGGTTTTTGCATTGAAGTCTTTTTCAGCAGAGATTAAAATTGCCTCTCCTGCTCATTTTTGATTGCTGTTAGATTGACATTTTTTTTTTCCATCCTTGATTTTTAGTCTGTTTCTGTCTGTGTATGTAAATGTGTCTTTTGTAAACTGCATATTGAAGGATTCTGTTTTCTTATCCATTCTGCTACTCTCTGTATCTTGACTGGTGCATTCTATCCATTTACATTCAGTGCAATTATTGATAGGTGTGGTGATGTAGGATTAACACTGGAGTGTGAACCACAAGGTCAGCAATTCAAACCCATAAACTGCTCCTCAGAAACCTTATATAGGGTTGCTGTTAGTGGGAACGAACTCAGTGGCACTTAACAAAATGAATTGATTGCCATGTTTTTGTTTTTTAACTTTTTTGTGTGAATTGAGTGCAAATTAACAGACAAGATCATTAGCTTTACTTTCAACCAATCATACATTTTGTTCCATCTCAATGATTATAATCCCCACCATGCCACAGCAGTACCCTCCTTCTTCCCTGGAGCTTCCCTTTCACATCTTATTTTTCACAAATCAACAAAGCAAAAATAATTGATATACACACACAAAATAAAAAATACATATTCATTTAAATGTCCAAAGGGCACACTCTTCAAACCAGCCTCCTTCCTGAAGGCACACAAACTTTTTATCAGTCCATGTACCTAGAGGCCGCAGCTGCGTTATCACTCCATGCTATCACCTCTGCCGCCATCTCTGCTGTCACAACTTTTCTAGGTAGGATCTCATGCTCCACTCATGCTCTTTCTTCTTGATGGTCCTGGAATCGTATATTCCTGAAATGAAAGATTATCTGCTCCCCTCTTTTAGTTACAAATTTTCTACAATTACAGCAGTGATAGTCACAATTAATCTTGCTAACAGTTAACTTGCAGTTGAACCATAGAATTTTGTCACCATCATCCTCCACCCCATCTCCAGATCCACTGGGAAAAGAAGAAAACTACTCAGTGGGGATTCTACTTTAACCCCCTCATTCTGAAACTAAGGACACCCATTAAAGCTTTTAAACCAGTCACTTCATGCCTTTATAGCCTCCCATTTTTGATAGCCAATGTCTAAACTGCCCCCTCCCTATCAGCCCATTCCTTCCATTCTGATTGGGCTTTTGAGCAACTGCATCCATGAGCAAAGGTCCAGTTTATCAAATTGTAGCAATTTACAGTTAGAGAATCAAGCATCTTTATCCTTATCTGGTCGAGTTCTGGTAGCCATCCAAAATATGTCAAATGGGAAAGATGAGGCTTACTGCTCCTGTAAAAATTTACAGCCTCAGGAACCTTTACAGCCTCAGGAACCCTGTACAGGGTCCCTATGAGTTGGAGTCAACTCCACGGGACATCCCCACCACCACCACCACTATAGCCTTTGGAGTATTGTAACGATGCTGGTTGTTTTCTCAAAAACTTTTAATGTAACTATTAATATAATATGTCTAAAAAGGGAACTTTAACTTCAAAAAAGCAAAATGGCAAGTATACGGTATAACAGCAAAATTAGATATGTGGTATATTGGCAACACTAGGTAAAAAAGAAAGAATCTGCGTAGGGAAAAAATTAAAAATTTGAGGAAAATATACCAAAATACAAGAATTTTGGTGATTTTCTTAATTTGTTTCTACTTTTTGATATTTTTTGCAATTATTTTTCTTAAGAGAGATGCTAACTAAGTAGTATCTAATTCTTAAACATCCTTTGTTTGTATTAGTTAATTAGTACTTGGGGTGTATTTCACATTCTCAATGGAAAAACAATTACAAAACCGTATTGATCGCTAAAAAGCAATTGTCATTTGCATTTTGTTTGCCCCACAGATGTTTTTAAGATTAAACCTGAGTACATGATCATACTTGTGATTAACCATTCACATGAAATAAATATATGACTTTTTTTCTTACAGAAATCTATCTAACGTGGAAGAAATTGGGACTTGCTCATATATCAATCATGTTATTACCATGACAACACTCTATATTCAGCAAGTAGGTGTGAATCAATATTCCTTTTTATTTTTTTACTGAGAATAACTAAGTTTTACTTATTTTGTATTATATTTAGTAAAGTTAAATGTTTTTGGAGGTAATAATTGAGAAAATAATTAAAACTATGATTGGGTACTATAAGTGAGAGGGCTTCAAAAAGGTGTGTGGAAAATTTCATTGTCTTTGAATTCTATTTTCCCATGCATTTTTTGAAGTACCCTCATCTTTCAGACATCTTATAAATATTATCTAAATGTGAACAATTGATAATGTTGTTGCTATATTTAAATAGTAACAGTGTTTTAGTAATTGATTTCAGAATTAGACAATTTATCATATTACATATTTATTTGTCATTTATCCATGTAATGAAAGCATACTGTTTTATAAAAACCTGTTTGATTGTTATTTTAAACCTTTTCTAGGAAATATTAAAACTTTATAAGGGTACATATACTTCATATGATTGACGTACTCTCTTTAAAGTCAAAGGAGATATTTAGGCTAATTTGAATTTTAAAAAAAGGGTTTTTTTTAGATATTAAATGAAATGTGGTGTAATAATGATATAGGTAAGAATATTGAACTTCTTATGTGGCTTAATAATTTTAAGTAAGTAAAATTTTATTTAAAAATTTATTCTCAGTTAAAAAGCAAACAAAAAGAGAAGGAAATGGCAGATCAGACAGCTATTGAAGAATTTGTAATCCATGCATTGGCATTTTGTGAAAGTTTATATGATCCGTATCGGAACTGGAGACATAGAATTTCGGGGTATGTTTAATAAATTATAATAATTATTTAAAATGTGACTGTGATAGTATGTGCAACTCATAAAAGCAGCTTTAGTTTTCTATTAAACAATTGGAAAGGCCCACAAATTTAAGAAGTAGAAATTGGAAAAAATAGGAATTAAGTATCGTAATTTTAATATGTCATGGATTGAATTGTGTTCCCCCAAAATATGTCAACTTGTCTCAGCCATGAATCTCAGAGATTGGTGATTATATAGTGATGTAATCATCTCCTTGCTGTGATCTAATGTGAGCATCCCTGGTCTCATGTAAGTGTAAGATTAGGGTGGGATGCAACATACCTTTAGCCAGGTCACAATCCTGATTAGATGCAAGGAAAGTTTCCTGGGATCTGGCCTGCATCACCTTTTCTTGTATAAGACATAAAAAGAGAGGGAAATAAGTAGCTAGAGAGGGTTCTCAGTACTACCAAGAAAGAAGAGCCAGAAGTGGAGTGTGTCTTTTGGATCCAGTGTCCTTGTACTGTGAACCTTCTAGATGAAGAGAAAGATTAATGCCAAGACACGCAGAGATCTCTAAGGGTCTGCAGATGTTGAAAGGATATTGGATCTTCTTCCTAAACTGTGAACTGACAGAAAGCCTTCTCTTCAAGCTGGAACCCTGAATTTGAACTTCTAGACTCCTAAACTGTGAAAGAATAAATTTTTGGTTGTTAAAGCCTTCCATTTATGATGTGTCTGTTATAGCAGCAGTAGATAATTAAGACATAAATATAATAACCTTTGCTTTTATATATTTACTTTTCTTTCATAAATTCAAAGAAGTTGTCCTGAGACTTGTCTGTTTATTAACAAGAAGGTACTAAGGTCTGTTGAATACTTCTGTTTCTATTGAACTTTATAATTTCCCCATTATTCCAGAGAAAAAGTGCTTTGCCCTTTTCTTTGGAAAGATTGTATCAGTCAGGATGTTGTAGTTAAGTGCAGTCGAGTTGTTTCTGACCCATAGTGACCCTGTAGAGGATTTCCAAGGAGCGACTAATGAGCTTGAACCACCGACTTTGTAGTTCAAACGGCTTTGCAGTCTGGCGCATTAACCCACAGCGCCACACATAACAAGGTGCATATCTTGTTAATTTTGTCTATCACTTTATTCTTCACAGTCACTCAAGGTCCAAAGCTGACAGAACAGCCAGCGTTTAAGGCTTATTGAGCTTATAGAGGGAAACAAAAGCTCTGAAAGATCTTAAACATTGATAATTTAATGGTCTGTACATGATACATCTCATTTTCATTCAGAGTTCAGAGCCCATTGGTGGAATTAGTAACATGGCTCCATCTATTATAATTGGGCCAAGAAGTTCATTTGTACCAAATGACTGGAAGGGGTGAAAACAAATATTTGACAAAATTCCAGTGACTACCTATTGCTTTCCCTGTGGTACTGCTCATGACTCATTAAACACTCAGAGAGACATAGAACAACGTTCCCTTTGCATTCTTTCTACTCATTCACAACTTTCGTTCCTGAGCAATCAAGGTTCTCTCTATTTTAAAGTTTATGCCAGAGCTTACATTCTTTTGTTTATTTTTTATTAAAATATCTATGACGTAAAAATTGTCATTTTGGCTATCTCTTAAGTATATAATTCACTGGTATTAGTTGTATTCACAGTATTGTGCAACCATTACCACCATATATTTTTTTAATGTTCGTAATCCAAACAAACTTAGTAACTCAGTAACCATTAAGCCACCAACTCCCTAATATCCTCTCTTAACTAGTTCCTGGTAATTACTAATTGACTTTTGTATTTACCTGTTGTAGATACTTCATAAAATTGGGATAATATATTTCCCCGTTTGTGTGCCAGAACTTTTTTTCAGGAAAATATGTGTCTTTCTACCACTCTTGCTACTTTCCTGTCCTCCACCTGGACTTGTTTAACTGCTGCAAACCTAAGAGAGCATTTTAAGGCATGGAGTATAGGATTTTTCTTTATAGACAGTAAGACAGAGGAGCTTAAAATTACTGAAGGAACGTGACAGACTTTTAAGGAAATTTATAATAATTAGGGAGTCCTGGTCTAGCACTGTGGGCTGCAATGTCGGTTTGAACTGAAAGGTAGGTGCTTCAAGCTCATCAGCTGCTCCTCGGAAACACTGTACAAGAAGGTTGCTATGGGTTGAAAATGACTTCACGGCACTTAACAACAAGAACAGTAATAGTTAGGGCAAAATGAATTTAAAGACATGGGGGAAGGAGAGCAGAAATTAAAAATAGATCCCAGAACATATTTTTAAAAAATTGGTAATTGCAAAAAAAACAAAAAATGAAAAAACCCAATATTTTGAAGCAAAAATGAAAAAAAAAAAAAAAAGTAAGCAGTCCTGGTGTGGTGCTGTGAGTTAATGCACCAGAATGCAAAGCCGTTTGAACTGCAAGGATGGTGGTTCAAGCTAACCAGCTGCTCCTTGGAAACCCTATACAGGGTTGCTATGGGTTGGCGCCTACTCAACGGTACTTAAGAACAACAACAAATGACATAATCTAGAAAGAGAATTATACTTATGTGAGATTACATTGAGTTGGGGAAGAGAGGATAAGTGATGACATTTAATGAATGCATGTATGTGCCAGGAATTATGCTTGATGCTGCCCATGGATTATTTCTCATATCAAGTTGTTTTACATTGATGTATGAAAATGTAAATAAGAGGTAAATGGTAAAGCAAGAAGTTAGGCTTGGTTTCTTCAGCTTTGACTTTGCTGGAGAGTGAAATCGTGGTACAAATAAATCATTGAGTTAGGAGAAATCCCTAGCTTATGAATGACCTTATTTGTAGGGCATTAAAGACAGTTACTTTACTTATTAATCTTATTCCAAAGTTAAATGTTTATTTGGAATATATATATGATGGGCATCAAAAAGTTTGTAGAAAAATTCCATAACCTTTTAATTCCAATTCCATTTTCTTATGAATGTTTTAAAGCACCTTAGTGTATTTTCTTGTACCTAAAACAATTTTAAACACTTGTAATTAAAGTTATACAGAGTCATAAAAAGTTATATATTTTTTTTATGAAACTGATGGATAATTTTATCTCCACTTGTGATTTGATTTGATTAATAGAGTTGATTATTAGTTCAATTTTGATTCTGCTTGCAGAATCTCTCAAGGTTAGAAAGATTTCCTAAAATAATTGTTATTATTATGTGCCAATGAGTCAGTTCCAACTCGTGTAAGGTTTCTGAGGCTGTGAATTGGCAAGTGAAATGTGTGTGCGTGGTAGATTAGATAAAAGTATTGTATCAGTGTTAAATTTATAAGTGTATAGTAGTTATACAAGACTATATATATATATGTATATATGAATATACACTGGAATTTTTAGAAGCAAAGAGCCATAACTTAACCATAAATGTTCAGAAAAATATTATTGGTGTGAATATGTATATATATACATATGTGTGTGTGTATGTGTATAATATATATGGGCAGAGTGAGCCAATGCTAAAGCAATTGTTAACATTTGCTAAAAGGAAATGTTAATGATGAACCTAGGTAAACTATTTGGATGTTCTTTGCAATGCTCTTATTGTTGCTACTATTCCAGAAATTAGAAGCTATTTCCAAATAAAAAATTTAAAAATTAAGAAAAATTGTAATGTCTGGGACATGACATGACAGGAGCACACACACACACACACACACACACACACACAAAGTACAGAAAATAACCAGAGAACATGAACTTAGAAAACAGATAAGCATTTTGCCTGTCCTCTTAGATATCAGTTAACACCTATTATGTGTTAAGAACTAGGAGGTTGGCCCAAATATCATAGATAATAATGGAGCATTCAAGTATACATGTTCCATGCAAATTCATTTTTAACCCTACTAACTTAATATATTGAAACTATGTAGTTCAAATTAGCTATGATTTGTGTTATCTATAATAGTTTTCACCTTTTTCTTTATGTTAACATACTGTATTTTTACCACATCTATAATGAAAATTATATATATAGGAGGATATCATGTATGATAAAGTTGAGTGTCAGCAAAAAGTGGAAGACCCACAGTGAGAAGAATTGACCCAGTGAGCTCAAGCAGCAACAGTTGTGAAGATGGTGCAGGACTGGGTAGTGCTTCATTCAATTTTACATAGGGCCACTATGAGTTAGAGTTTAATGGCTGGCAACCTACAACAGCTCATGTTACATTGAACATGTAGACTTTGTTGTTGTAAAATGCCATCAAGTCAGTTCTATCTAATAGTGACCTTATGTACAACAGTATGAAACACTGCCCTTTCCTCACAGTCGTTGTTAAGCTTGAGCCCATTTAACATACTATATTTAAGCTGTTATGCTGCCTCTGTGCCAGTGCATCTCATTGGAAGTCTTTCTCTTTTTTGCTGATCTCCCACTTTACCTAGCATGATATCCTTCTCCGGGACTAGTTCCTCCTGATGACATGTCTGAAGCGTGAGAGTTGATGTCTCACCATCCTGGCTTCTGAGGAGCATTCGGATTGTACTTCTTTTAACACAGATTGGTTTGTTCTTCTAGCAGTTCATGGCACTTTTAATATTCTTGTAACACCGTAACTCAAATATATCAATTTTTTTTAGCCTTTTCTTAATCACTGTCCAACTTTCACATGTATATAGTAGGCTATTAAAAATAACATGGCTTTGGTCAGGTGCACTTTAGTCCTTAAACTGCTATCTCTGCTCTTGAAACAGGGACTTTAGAGTATGTTACTGTCTTAGTTCACTAGTGCTGTTATAACAGAATACTGTAAGTGAGTGGTTTTAAGTAAGAAACTAATTTATTTTCTCATGATTTGACTCATTTGTGATCTTCATGTGGAGTGGCATATATCTTTCCCCCACCTCGACTTTTTATGTTTACTTATCTAATTCTTTATATGTCAGAAGATTTGATTTAAGGCACAGCCTACATTAATACTTTTTCATTAACAAAGAATGTATTTCCAAATGAGATTATTATCACAGGTATACAAAATACCCATGGCCATGAAGTCAGTTTTGACTCATCTAACTACCACCACCACCACCACCACTACCACCAAGGAGCTCTGGTAGCGTAGTGGTTACGAATCGGGCCGCAAACCACAAGTTCAGCAGTTCGAAACTACCAGCTGTTCCATGGAAAAAAGATGAGGCTTTCTGCTCCCATGAAGATTTACAGCCTCAAAAACCCTGTACATGGGTTACTATGAGTCAGGACCAACTCCATGGCACGTAACAACCCCCCCCCGCCCCCCTCTAGAATAGAGTAATTGTTAAGAAATGTCGACTCAGTTCTGATTCATTGTTACCCTGTAAATGGTTGTGGTTCACACAGTCCACTGTTTATCCTGCAGAGCCAGGATATGATGCCTAATAGGATTGCCAAGATCAAATCTTTATATAGACAGATTGCCACATCTTTCTCCCTCACAGTGACTGATGGGTTCAAACCACCAGCCTTTTGGTTAGCAGCCCAGTGTTTTATGCACTGCATCACCAGGGTACTTAGCCACAGATACCAATTTTTTTTTTTCCCTAAGTGTCATCAAGTCGGTTTCAACTTATAGCAACCAAGGTGTGGCTGGTGAATTTGAACTGCTGACCTTGTGGTCACCATACTGGCTTTGTGGTCCAGTGCATTGTCCCATAGCACTGCACCAGGTACAGGGGTTAGGATTTACAACACACATATTTTGGAGACAGAAATCAGATTAATAACCATCATTAATTGTAAATTGTAGAAGTATATTTTTATTATGTAATCAAGTGAGAGTGTTTATTATTATCATCTGTATCACAGGGTATTTATTTGATATAAAATCTATTAGATAAAATAATAATTTCTGATAAATGTACACAAATGGAAATAATCTCATGGATAAATCGAAATCAGTCTTATATAAACCTCATTTTTTTACCATAATAAAGGTTTTCAGAAAAATTGTGCAGTAAGTACAGAGTTCCCATATGCTTCCTCTGTTCCCTATACATTATTTATCCTATTATTATTAACATCTTGCATTACTGTGGTGCATTTTTTATATTTAAAGAACAGTTGTTAAGTGCCGTCAAGTTAGTTCTGACTCATAGCATTTATTGGTTTGAACTGCAGGTCAGCAATTCAAACTCACCAGATGATCCTCAGAAACCCTGTAGGTCGGAACTGACTTGACAGCACTTAACAACAACAATGCCCCATACACATTGAAAATAGCCATAGACTTGGAAATAAGTACAGTGACATGATATGATTTGTGGTGAATCTGGATATTAGATGAAGATTGTAGAGCTTTTTGTTCTTTATTACTAACTTCAGCTGTGCCTACTGTATTTGCCTTATGTATCGCAATAGGCTATTCTTTCTAATCTTGAAATATTTATAAGGAATGTCATTTCATGTGTAATTTCTGACTCCCTAGCTACTCTGTAGGTGTGGCACTGTGAGCTAATGCGTCAGATTGCAAAGTCATTTGAACTGCAAGGTCTGTGGTTCAAGCTCACCAGCTTCTCCTTCAAAACCCTATACAGGGTTGCTGTGGGGCGGAGTTGATTCAATGGCACATAACAACAACAACATCTACTCTGTATAGGGTTTTCAAGAAGCAGCTGGTGGGTTTGAACTGCTGACCTTTCACTTAGCAGTCCAGTGCTTATCTTGTAGCACTACACCAGGACTCCATAATTTCAGAAAGCAGACTTAATTATGGCTGTGAAGAAGAAGGCATCTCAAACCAATGCTTTATCAGTAAATCATGTTTATATGTATGGGATTTCTGTGTGGCTCTCATTCAAAATTTTTTTACCATTTTTGTTGACTTTCATCTATAAATGTTAAGAGGTTTTTTAGGGCCTGAATAAAATGCCTGTGATTTTTTCTTTTTTTTTTAATTTTCATCATTCTTCTGTTGGCATTATCATTTAACAATAGTTACTCCCCACCTCCCCGTCATTTAACAATAGTTATTCCCCACCTCCCCATACTCCCATGCCCATCTAAGAGAGTACTTTTATGTGAATTGAAATGTTACTGATTAAAGCATGTGAAATTTATGTTGCCTTTTAAAGGTTTGTGGAAATATTATAACCATTCAAATTATTGATGTTGCCCTTAAAAAAAGATAAAATGTCCCAGCCTATGCTGGATCTGTATCCATAAAATGAATGAAGCTTATGGTTCTGGACTTAAGTACAGAAAGTGGCAGATTAGCATGATTTCTGATGAATACATTGTATTAGTAAGCTTGCTAGCCTTAGATGTCATATTAGGATACTATTGAACATGTTCTTATAGTTATATTTGGAAATTTAAGGCCAGGTTCCTTCAGTGTTTGACTATTAAACAGTTAAAAAATGTTTAACTCTAAAGAAAAAAATCCTTTAATTGATGATCATTTAAGTTATTGGCCAGACTTCTTCAAGATTATGCCAAACATGCTTATGTATTGTTTAGTACACAAATTAAAACTAAAAGATTACATTGTTTTATAGTTGTTTTTGTAATTGGGTTATTTTTACTTGCCCATGTTATAATTTTTAATTACCTTATTTTAATGATAGACGAATCCTTAGTACTGTGGAAAGGAGCAGACAGAAATACAAGCCAGCTTCTCTCACAGTGGAGTTCGTACCTTTCTTCTATCGTAAGTAGCATTTCAAGTTTCTCTAGTTTGATTTTGATGACATTCTCTTTTTCTTTCTCTGATTCTGACCTTGATTTAGCTTTGTGAATTCATAAGATAAAGAGTTTAAGAACCCATCAGTAAAGTACTTGAATTCCTTTTTGGCTGTGATTATTGTTCTTGGTTCTTTGGAGAAGAGCTGATCATTTTAATGACAATATATTTTAGAAGTTCAGAAGTTTTGCTGAAAATAAGAAATTTAGTATGACCTATATGGGCCCTCGTTTTGTATTTTCAAAAAGATCATGCCATATTTTAAGAATACAAAAAAATTTATACAGGATTTATATTTCCTGCTCAGGTTTGCCAGATATTAACATTTTGCCAATTTGCCTCAGTATTTTTTCTCATTTCCTAATAAATAAAGTAAGGCAGAAACAATCCTTTGTTTATTGCCTGGTGGAAAATGATTTCAGTGCCACTTTGCTTGACCATGAGTAGTGTGATACTGGCTTCAGCTAGACAATCAAGCTCACGTGTATTCTATAGGCCATGCCTGGCACTGACTTCACTGAAAAGGCACAGAAGAAGAACCTAACATACCAGTAAACGATGTATGTATTTCACTTAGGAGGAGTCTTTATAGTAGTCTCAGGATAGTCTTTGGTCCTTTGAGTGAAGACATAAGTAATTTGGTAGGTGTGAGAGCCTTTGTGGCTTAGAAATATTGTACCCATAACCCAGTGCCATCAAGTCGATTTTGACTCCTAGTGTGTCTATAGGACTCCTTAGGATTCCTGAAGCTGTAATCTTTATGGAAGCAGGTAGCCTCATCTTTCTGCTGCAGAATGATATCCTCTGTCAAACCTTTATATACTTTTCATATACTCTCATACTCTGTCTCTCCCTCCCATACCATTTTAACTTGTGTAGATATCCATGTATCTACCCGTAGATGACTGTCATTGCAGGATTGTGTAGATAACCACATTTAACCTCTGCTCCCTTTAAGTCTTGCACTCCTTCATGTGTCTTTTCCTGCCTCCATAATTCTTCTGCCAACCTTCCCCTTGTATATTGCCTTCCATCACCCAAGTTACCATGTGTCTTCCATTTAGCAAGTGAACTACTCTCCCTTCCTTTCCATCCCTGGTAACTAT